AACAGGATCATTGAGCCATTGCCTTAGTCCCAGACTGGCTAGACCCAGACTCCTTATCAGGTGAGCTAACTAATCATCTTGCTTTTGTAGGCCATTGTGGGTGGGCTTCCTGCTGCTTGCAGCTGAAAATATTCCTAATATACATTGAGATTCAGGAGAACTTAATTCTAATTCTAACGCAATCCCAGTGAATGTCTGTGCAGAAATGCATTGCATTTCTTTATATCAACAAAAAGACATTTAGATAATGAAATTAAACAAAATAGTTTACCCCTAGTGCCAATTATCTTGATCTCTAATCACCATTCTCACTAAAAAGTCACCAGAGATTTTTAGGGTAAAGTCTTATTCCGGGTCTGGGGGTAGAAGAATACATGACACTCATGGGCTTTCTTACTGTGCTAAAAAAGCAAAGAAAACACTTAAAGACTCATGGGGCCCCATGACACAGGCAGCATCATGAAGGGCCTTTACTAGCCACATTTGAGATCATTTCAACATCAAAAAGAATAACGGCCGTCATTTATTGTAACACATTCAGTACATTAAAGTCCCTAAATTCACAGTGATACTTCAAAAACATAAAAAGGAAAGGTTAAAAGGAAAAAAGGAAAAAGCTCTTTGTTTTGTCTTATAATGGATTTCAGGTTAACAGACTCTCAGATGGAAAGTTGTATACAGAAAGCTTATTGGAGAGAGATATGTGGAGAACCATCTGTAAGAGGGTGAGGAAGATAAGAATGGACCGAGAGAGAAGTTGACCTACAATGCAGTTACAACTGAGGCCTAAGACAGGTCTACAGAGAGCTCTGGAGCTGAGATGGCCCTTCAGAGTTGCCTCAAAGTAAGACGAGTTTGTACAGTCATGCACTGCCTAAGAATGTTTTAGTGAATGTCAGACCGCATATACGACTGTGATCCCACAAGATTATAATGAAGCTGAAAAATTACTATCATCTAGTGACATTATAGCTGTCATAACATCTTAGCATGATGCACTACCTTCTCTATTTTTAGATGTTTATGTACACAAATACCATTGTGTGACAATTGCCTGTAGTATCCAGTACAATCATATGCTATACTGGTTTGTAGCCTAGGAGCAGTAGGCTGTATCATGTAGCCTAGGTGTGTTGTAGATGATACCATCTAGGTTTGTGTAAGTACACTCTACGATGTTCGCACATGGATGAAACTGTCTAGCGGAACGTATCTCAGAATGTAGCCCCATCATAAGCCATGCATGACTTGTATTTCTACATCAGATCCTCATTGACTACTGCCGGTTCCTTGATAGGTAAAAGAGGTGGGTAGCCTTGAGTAAAGCAGTTCCCTGTAGTCAAGGGCAGTTTGAAGTGAGGGACATAGCTGTGAAGTCAGTAGCTGATTTTCCCAGAAGTTGGGGGGATAGTGTGTTGGCCCCATAGAAGAGATCTGAGCAGAGCACACGGTATTTACTACAGCCATTATTTATAAAAGAATGCCACCTAATACGTATAGAAATAATTGTGTAATTAGTAAATCACCATTTTGCAAGCTTCAGTGTAATAATCGATTCAGGCAAAGATCCTTGAGGGATGTTTAAAAAAATTCAATAAAAGTTGTTTTAGAACAGGATGCTAACATCCTACTCTATAAAATGTCAGTCCACAAATGGCTTGCTAGTCAGAAAATTTTGCATCATCAAAGTGGTTGCACAATATTACCCATTAAGCATTCTTGGTCATTATTAAATATTCTTGTTAAAAATGCTTAACCTGAAACTGATCAAACCACTAGACCTAACTTCAAGTCTACAGAAAATACAGGAGATAAAGAAAAAGTCAGATGATACAGAATGTGGGACATTCTACAACATAACTGGCCTGGTTTCTTTTCTTTTTTCTTTTCTTTTTCTTTTTCTTTTTTTTTTTTTTTTTTTGAGACGGAGTTTCGCTCGTTACCTAGGCTGGAGTGCAATGGCGCGATCTCGGCTCACGGCAACCTCCGCCTCCTGGGTTCAGGCAATTCTCCTGCCTCAGCCTCCTGAGTAGTTGGGATTACAGGCACGTGCCACCATGGCCAGCTAATTTTTTGTATCTTTAGTAGAGACAGGGTTTCACCATGTTGACCAGGATGGTCTCGATCTCTTGACCTTGTGATCCACCCGCCTCAGCCTCCCAAAGTGCTGGGATTACAGGCTTGAGCTACCGCGCCCGGCCATGGTTTCTTTAACAAGTCAGTACTGGACTAATGGGCCAATGCAAGGTATTAATGGTAGTGCAGTTTTTTTGGTTTTCGTTTTGTTTTTTTTTTTTTTTTTTTTTGAGACAAGAGCTTGCTCTGTCACCCAGACTGGAGTGCAGTGGTACGATCATGGCTTATTGCAGCGTGGACCTCCCTGGCTCAAACGATCCTCCCACTTCAGCCTCTCAAGTAGCTGGGACTATAGGCATGCACTACCACACCCAGCTAATTTTTACTTTTTTTTTTTGTAGAGACGGGGTCTCCCTGTGTTGCCCAGGCTGGTCTCAAATTCCTGGGCTCAAGCAATCATCCTGCCCTGGCCTCCCAAATTGCTGGAATTATAGGCATGAGCCATAGCACCTGGCCTGTAGTATAGTTTTTTGTCTCCCTTAATACTATCTTAAAACCATTATGATAGCAAAAGAACCATTATGATAGCAAAGAAAAAATTTCCCAGATTACATTCTGAACAAAACAAGGTGACAAGCATCCCCAGGAACGCCAGAATGCAAATGGTTGCCACCAAACCATTGACCACGGCAAGACCTTTATAGGTCCTGTACAAGTTTAGCAGCAATGCAGAGAAATAGTGGAAAGAATATAGGGATGTTCTGGCCAGGCGCAGTGGCTCACACCTGTAATCCCAGCACTTTGGGAGGCTGAGGCGGGAGGATCGCCTGAGTTCAGGAGTTCGAGACCAGCCTAGCCAACATGGTGAAACCCCTCTCTCTGCTAAAAATGCAAAAATTAGCCAAGTGTGGTGGGGCGCACCTGCAGTCCCAGCTACTCAGGAGGCAGAGGCAGGAGAATTGCTTGAACCTGGGAAGCGGAGCTTGCAGTGAGCCAAGATGGCACCATTGCGCTCCAGTCTGGACGACAAGAGTGAAACTCTGTCTCAAAAAAAAAAAAAAAAAAAAAAAAAAGGCCGGGAGCAGTGGCTCATGCTTGTAATCTCAGCACTTTAGGAGGCTGAGGTGGGTGGGTCACAAGGTCAAGTGATCGAGACCATCCTGGCCAACATGGTGAAACCCCGTCTCTAGTAAAAATACAAAAATTAGCCGCGTGTGGTTGGCACGCACCTATGGTCCCAGCTACTCAGGAGGCTGAGGTGGAAGAATAGCTTGAACCCAGGAGGCAGAGGTTGCAGTGAGCCGAGATTGCACCACTGCACTTCAGCCTGGCGACAGAGCAAGACTCTGTCTCACAAAAAAGAATATAGGGATGTTCTGATGGCCCTAAGAGCCCAAGAACACTGAATTTGCAAATACTCCTCAGCTCAGTTACTTACTGTCTCAGTTTCTATAACAGGAGTTACTCCTGGCACCAGTTTCCTCACCTGACCACCTGTCCACTTGGGTCGAGACCCTTCAAGATCCTTCCAGCTGGCTGCCTTCTTGGCCTCTGGGAAAAACCCACACAGCCTCACCCCAACAAACCCTGAACATACCCGCTGTCTGGACTTGCTTTCCTTACCCTGCCATGTCGGGCTGCTACACCAGTCTCCTCTCTACAGGTTTATCCAGGTAGGAGCAGTCATCAGTCTCTATCGTCATCTACAATCTAAAACGCTGAGGACATGTCAAGCTTTACCAAAAACTCCTTCAAACTGTACCCCAGAGACAGAATTGGGTAGGTCTACACGTTTCTATAGCTCAGCAGTTGGAGCGGAAGCAGATGTCCGTCTCTCAACTTCCCTTATTCTGAGTTGTCTTGGGGAGCCTCTCTTGGCTTGAGTGGTGGTGGTGGTGATGTCCATAGCAAAGTGGCAAAGTGCTTTCTACTGCAGGATTTTCTTACATACTTTTTTTTTTTTTTTTTTTTTTTTCCAAAAAAGGAATCTGCAGCCTACTCTCACATAGGTTGGAGAGGGATAATCCAAAGACTTGTTGGCCACCTCACGGTTGCATTTTCCAAAATATTTAGAAACACCACGTCAAAATATGAATGTGCCAGGAATTAATGGGATCCAAATAAAATATGTGTATCCTTCCCATTTTAGCCTTGTGTCTCTGGGTTGGTTATCCAGTATTTGTAAACCCAAAGTAACCTTATTTCTCACAGACATAGGTGGTTTTCTAGAAATAATAAACTCCTTCACACTGACAGGAAATGACACTAGATGGTAGCTCTGATTCACTCGAAGATATACAAAGCTCCAGAAAAGGTAAATCTGTAGGTAAATACACGATGCTATATAAATATATTAATTTCTTCTCCTACTGTGTCTAAAAGATGTAAGATCGCATAAAACAATTTATTGGGTTTTTTGGGAGGTGGGGGGTTTGAGATGGAGTCTTGCTTTTTTGAGACAGAGTCTTACTCTGTTGCCTAGGCTGGAGTGATGCGATCTCAGCTCACTTCAATCTCTGCCTGCCTGGTTCAAGCAATTCTCCTACCTCAGCCTCCTGAGTAGCTGGGACTACAAGTGTGCACCACCACACCCAGCTAATTTGTGTATTTTTAGTAGAAATGGGGTTTCACCATGTTGGCCATATTGGTCTTGAATTTCTGACCTCAAGTGATCCACCCGCCTCAGCCTCCCAAACTGTTGGGACTACAGGTGTGAGCCACCACACTCAACCTTATGTAAGATAATTCTTATAAAATGATTTTTATGCTTATGACATATAAAAATATAATATATTTCTCCCCCACAGTGTGTGTAGGGGGAGAAGTGGAAATATATTAGTACAAATTTTTTGTATTTTACCAAAGGTAGTTAGTAATTACTCTGAAGTATAGAGTGACAGGTTAAGATTCATATTGTAGATGTTAGGACGAAGGGGAAGGAGGAGAAGCGCTTAAAGCGGCGGGAGCGGTGCGGGAGAGGGGTTGCACCCAGGGCTGAGGCAGGCCCCCCGCTCCCTCCCGCCTCAGTGGATCATGCCCAGGGCGGCAGCGGCGGCGGTTGCGGGGGGGCGGGGGGAAGTGACTGGGCGGTGCCGGCGCAGGAGACGATGCCGTTTCCAGTTACAACACAGGGATCACAACAAACACAACCGCCACAGAAGCACTATGGCATCACTTCTCCTATCAGCTTAGCAGCCCCTAAGGAGACTGACTGCATACTTACACAGAAACTAATTGAGACGCTGAAACCCTTCGGGGTTTTTGAAGAGGAAGAGGAACTGCAGCGCAGGATTCTAATTTTGGGAAAACTAAATAACCTGGTAAAAGAGTGGATACGAGAAATCAGTGAAAGCAAGAATCTTCCACAATCTGTAATTGAAAATGTTGGAGGAAAAATTTTTACATTTGGATCTTACAGGTTAGGCGTACATACAAAAGGTGCTGATGTTGATGCGTTGTGTGTTGCACCAAGACATGTTGATCAAAGTGACTTTTTCACCTCATTCTATGATAAGTTGAAATTACAGGAAGAAGTAAAAGATTTAAGAGCTGTTGAAGAGGCATTTGTACCAGTTATTAAACTCTGTTTTGATGGGATAGAGATTGATATTTTGTTTGCAAGATTAGCACTGCAGACAATTCCAGAAGATTTGGACCTACGAGATGACAGTCTGCTTAAAAATTTAGATATAAGATGTATAAGAAGTCTTAATGGTTGCAGGGTAACCGATGAAATTTTACATCTAGTACCAAACATTGACAACTTCAGGTTAACTCTGAGAGCTATCAAACTATGGGCCAAACGCCACAACATCTATTCCAATATATTAGGTTTCCTCGGTGGTGTTTCCTGGGCTATGCTAGTAGCAAGAACTTGCCAGCTTTATCCAAATGCAATAGCATCAACACTTGTACATAAATTTTTCTTGGTATTTTCTAAATGGTATGTGTTTAGATTATATTAAAATAAAATTGATTGTAGACACTGAAAAAAAAAAGATTCATATTGTAATCCTTAGAGAAGCAACAAAGAAAATAACTTTTTAAAATATAGTAAAACAGGCGGGGCGCGGTGGCTCATGCCTGTAATCCCAGTACTTTGGGAGGTTAAGATGGGTGGACCACAAGGTCAGGAGTTCAAGACCAGCCTGACCAACATGGTGAAACCCCGTCTCTACTGAAAATAAAAAAAAATAGCCGGATGTGGTGGCGCATTGCCTGTAATCTCAGCTACTTGGGAGGCTGAGGCAGGAGAATCGCTTGAACCTGGGAGGCGGAGGTTGCGGTTAGTCGGGATTGTGCCATTGCACTCTAGCCTGGGCAACAAGAGTGAAATTCCGTCAAAAAAAATAAATAAATAATAAATTAAAATGTTTTAAAAAACTATTCTAACAATAAGTTTAAAAAGACTGTGTGATGTTGTCATGAAGATAGATGTTGGTACAGAATCAAGAGTCCAGAAATAAACCCTTCCATTTATGGCGCATGGATTTTTGACAAAGGTGCCAAGACAATTCCATGGAGAAAGGACAGTCTTTTCAATGATGGTTGCTGGGACAATTGGATGTCCACATGCAAAAGGATGAATTCGCTCTCTTACCTCACATTATACACAAAAATTCACTCGAAATGGGTCAAAGATCTAAATTTTTGTTCTAAAACTTTCAGAGAAAAACATAGGAGAAAACTTTGGTGTGATGGTTAATTTTAGGTGTCAACTTGACTAGGTGAAGGGATACCTAGATAACTGGTAAAGCATTATTTCTGGGTATGTCCATGTGGGTGTTTCCAGAGGAGACTGGTATGTGAGTCAGTGGACTGAGTGGGGACAGTCACCATCAATGTGGGTGGGCACCATCCAGTTGGCTGGGGGCCCAGATAGAACAAAAAGGCAGAGGAAAGGCGAATTCATGTTCTCTCTCTCTCTGTCTCTTTCTCTCTCTCTGTCTGTCCTGGAGCTGGGGCACCCTTCTTCTCCTGCCCTTGGACATCAGAACTCCAGGTTCTCCAGCCTTTGGATTTTGGGACTTGCACCAGCAACCTCCTAGGTTCTCAGGACTTTGGCATTGGGCCGAGAGTTACACCATTGGCTTCTCTGGTTCTGCAGCCTTCAGACTTGAACTGAGCCATGTTACCAGCCTCTCTGGTTCTTTAGCTTGCAGATAGCCTATCATGGGATTTTTAAACCTCTATAACCACATGAGCTAACTCTCCTAATAAATCCCCTTGTCTATGTATATATCTATCTGTCTGTCTGTCATGTATCTATCCTATTGGCTCTCAGAAGTAGGCTATCTATAATATCTATAGATAGATATTATAATTATCTATCCATCTGTCTATGTATCTATCATGTGTCTAACCTATTGGCTCTCAGAAGTAGGGCTGTTACTATAACAGATATCCAAAAAGTTGGAAGCTACTTTAAAACTGGGTGATGGGCAGAGACTGGAAGAACTTGGAGAAGTCTCCTAGCAAAAGTCTATATTGCCATGAATAAAGTCTTTAGCGGGATTCTGGTGAGGACTCAGAAGAAGAGAGTGGTAGAGAGAGTCTGAAACTTCTAAAAACTTACCAGGTAATCATGATCAGAATGTTGGTAGAAATATGGATGGTAAAGGCAGTTCTGGTGAGATCTCAGATGGAAATGAGAAACAGTGTATCAGAAACCACAGTAAAGTCCTTCCTTGTCCTAAAATGGCAAAGAACTTGGCTGAATTGTACCCATGTCTGAGGGTTTTGTGGAAAGCAGAACTTAAAAGCAATGAATTAGGATATGACAGAAGAAATATTTAACCACCAAAGCATTCAGGGTGTTGTCTGACTTCTTCTAATTTCGTATAGTTAAATGCAAGAAGAGAGAAATGACGTAAAGATGGAATTTATAATTAAAAGGAAGCAGAACATAAGGATTTGGAAAATCCCCAGCCTGGCCAAGTAAAGAAATACAAAGCTTTGCTGGATATGCCTGGCTGAAGATTTGATGTGATTCCTCCTTAAGCTGTGCGTCCTATTAATAATAGATACTGTACTGGGCTCTGTGTAAGTGTCGCTGGCGTGGGACCTATGTTTTAATACTGTTCCTAACATTTCATTTTACTAGTGAGACATCTTTGATTTCATGTTATTCTTTGTAATTCTAGACACTAGATTGTAGTTTAGCCATAACTCATGTTTTTTAAAAGGGTTTTTTTTTTTTTGCACAATTGTTCAAAAAAGAGACAAGTTTCAGTCCTCAATGCTGTCCTTTGTTTTACAGGTACACGTTTTCTAGCTCAGACAAACTATAAAAAGCTGGAGACTATTCTCGAGGTATTAACTCGCAGACCCTCTGGGGGCAAGGGCTGTTTTCTGAGTTGCAGGCAGAGTGGGACTTCGATGGTACAGTGCGCACAGACAGGTGCTGAGCTGACGGACTGGGAGTTTCTGTACTAAAATGTTACTTTGTATCAAAAGTTAAACAGGCTTTAGTACAGCAAATAAAGGTCAATTTCTGTAAAAAGAAAAAAAAGAAATACAAAGCTTTTTTGTTGTATTTTTTGTACAAATTTGTATTATTATTTGTATTGTTCAGGAGAGAAAATCAAAAGTGTGGCCAAAGGACCTGCTATTCATCAAGACAATGGAGAATTAACCTAAAGTTAATGGTGATCTTTGAGGCTGCCCCTTCCATCACATTATCAGAGCACTGGGACCTTGAGGGCGAGGTTTCTAGAGAGAGGTCTATGGGATCCCAGCATTTTCTGCCCTTTGCTACCTCAAGTATCTGCTTCCTGCATTCCAGTGCAGCACTCCTTGGCTGTCCCAGCTGTGGCTCAAGCAAGCCCAGGTGCAATTCAACCTGCTATTCTGAAAGATGCAAGCATTAAGCCTTGGTTACATCCAGATGGTGCTAATTCTGCAGCCCCACAGAATGCAAGAAATGTGCGGCCATGGCTTCCTCCACCTAGATTTCAAAGGATGTCATGGACAGCTTGGGGGACCAGGTAGAAACTTGTCATGGGGACAGAGCTACCAGAGAGAGGTTCCACTAGTGTTGCAGTATTTCTGCTCCTTAGCTCGCTAAGTCTGAGTTCTTGTCTCACAAGCAGGAAGAATTAGGCATACGAACGTCAGAAAGTGAGTAGAATAGAATTTATTAAGTGAAAGGAAAACTCTCAGCAGAGAGGGGACGTCAGGGGGTTGAGGTTCCCCTATTTGAAGGCAGGAAAAGTCCTCTGTGTGGCTGGACCTGGGGCTTTTTATGGACTCAGAATGGGAAGTGCATGTTGATTGTTTTGTGAGTATGCAAAAAAGGTTAAAGCAAAGACACCACTCAAAGGTAAGCATGATTGTAGGAAACTTATTAGGAAAGGGTAGGTATAGGTAAAATAGGTAAAGGAGGGGATCAATCAGAGGAAAGTGTGCCAAACAGGAAAATGGAAGACAAGTTATCAATCCCATCTGAGGATTTAACTTGTAGTTTGGCTTTCAGGCTTTAAGCTGTCTTTGGCTTGGAGTTGGGGTTTACTCACCCCTATCTGCCTAGACATTTGGCTCCCTCCACTCACTATCACTAGGAAAATGCCCAGTGGAACTGTGGACTCAGGGCTGATGCAGAGACCCCAGAAATGTAGAATCACCAGTATGCAGTCCTAGCCTGGGAAAGCTGCAGGCACAAGTCTTCAACGCATGAAAACTGCTGCATGAGCTGAGCCCAGCAAAGCCATGGGGGAGGAGCTGCCTGAGATCTTAGAAGCACATAGCCCACTCCAGTTGCCCAAAAGGTGGGACATGGAGTCAAGGAAGATTGTTCTGGAGCCGTAAGATTTGATGTTGTTCACCCTGTTGGGTTTTGAACATACTGGAGATCAGTTACCCCTTTCTTCTTGACTGTTTCTTCCTTTTGGACTGGGAATGTCTATCCTATGCCTGTCCCACCACCGTATTTTGGAAGCAGATAACTTGATTTCACAGGCTTATGGCTGGAGAGAATTTGCCTCAGAATAAATCATGCCTTGAGTCTCACCCATATATGATTTAGATGAGATTCTAGATTTTGGACTTATGTGTTGGTGCTACAGTGGTTAAGATTTTGGGGGCTATTGGGCTGGAATGGATGTGTTTTGCATATGAGAAGAATGTGAGTTTGGGGGGGCAGTGGGTGGAATGCTATGGTTTGAATGTTTGCCCCCTCCAAAGCTCATGTTGAAATTGAATTGCCATTGTAATGGGAATTGGGAGATGGGACCTTTAAGAGGTGATCAGGTTGTGAGGGCTCTGCCCTCATGGGTGAGTTTAATGTCTTTAAAATGGAGCTTTCTGGAGGGGGTTCTCTCTTTTTTTCTGCTCTGTGCCACGTGAAGAACAGTGTTCCTCTCCTCTGGAGGATACAACATTCAAGGTGTTATCTTGGAAGCAGGGACAGGGCCCTGGCCAGACACCAAACCTTCTAGTGCCTTGCTGTTGGACTTCCCAGCCTCTAAAACTGTAAGAAATAAATTTCTGTTCTTTATAAATTACCCAGGTTGGCTGTGCCAGGGACCATGGACATGGGCAAACTTCTGAGCTACCAGCCCAACAAGGGCATAAAACGTCCCCAAGATGATGAAGAGGAGGAGCAGAAGATGCATCAGAAACAAACTGGTACTCAAAAACATGGCTACTATCAGCAGGGGGAAATAATTGTGGTGGAAGAAGCAGAAGATGACAAAAAATGGCTGCTTCAGATTATTGACAGAAAGGGTAAGGAGGAAGAGAAAGAGGAGGAACCACTGGATGAAAGCTCAGTGAAGAAAATGATCCTCACAGCCAGGTGTGGTGGCTCACGCCTGTAATCCAAGCACTTTGGAGTCCAAGGCGGGCAGGTCACCTGAGGTCGGGAGTTCAAGACCAGCCTGACCAACATGGTGAAACCCTGTTTTTATAAAAAAAAAAAGAAAAAAAGAAAAAGAAAAAGAAAATGATCCTCACATTTGAATAGAGAGCATATAAAAATCAAGAATTGTGGATTAAGTTT